TTTTTCCCCATTTTCCCCCGTTACCTGGCCGGTACTGGTCGGTGAGGTGGCTGCCCAGTTGTGCCCCATTTCCCATTCCCCATTTCCCATTTTCCCCCGATTTTTCCCCATTCCCCCCATTACCTGGCCGGTACTGGTCGGTGAGGTGGCTGCCCAAGTTGTGCCCCATTTCCCATTCCCCATTTCCCATTTTCCCCCATTTTTCCCCATTTCCCCCCGTTACCTGGCTGGTACTGGTCGGTGAGGCGGCTACCCAAGTTGTACTCCATTTCCCATTCCCCATTTCCCATTTTTCCCCCATTTTCCCCCATTTTTCCCCATTTTCCCCCCCATTTCCCCCCGTTACCTGGCCGGTACTGGTCGGTGAGGTGGCTGCCCAGTTGTACTCCATTTCCCATTCCCCATTTCCCATTTTCCCCCCGTTTTTCCCCATTTTCTCCCGTTACCTGGCCGGTACTGGTCGGTGAGGTGGCTGCCCCAGTTGTACTCCATTTTTTCCCCATTTTTCCCCATTTTTCCCCGTTTTTCCCCCGTTACCTGGCCGGTACTGGTCGGTGAGGCGGCTGCCCCAGTTGTACTCCATTTCCCATTCTCCATTTCCCATTTTCCCCCATTTTTCCCCATTTTCCCCCCATTTCCCCCCATTACCTGGCCAGTATTGGTCAATGAGATGGCTGCCAAAGTTGTACTCCATTTTTACCCCATTTTTACCCCATTTTTACCCCATTTTTACCCCATTTCCCCCCGTTACCTGGCCGGTACTGGTCGGTGAGGTGCCTGCCCAAGTTGTACTCCATTTTTCCCCCATTTTCCCCCATTTTTCCCCATTTTTCCCCATTTCCCCCGTTACCTGGCCGGTACTGGTCGGTGAGGTGCCTGCCCAAGTTGTACTCCATTTCCCATTCCCCATTTCCCATTTTTATCCCATTTTTCCCCATTTCCCCCCGTTACCTGGCCGGTACTGGTCGGTGAGGCGGCTACCTGAGTTGTACTCCATTTTTCCCCCATTTTCCCCCATTTCCCCCCATTTTTCCCCATTTTCCCCCCGTTACCTGGCCGGTACTGGTCGGTGAGGTGGCTGCCGAAGTTGTAGACCAGGTCGAGGTGGCGCCGCTCCTGCAGGCGGTTGCCCACCTCGCGGAACGCCTCCTGGGCCATGTTCTCCATCTGCCGCCGGCCCAGCCCCAGCCCGTGGCGCGCGCTGGCGCCGCGGATCTCGCGCAGGATGTCCGAGTAGTCGGGGAAGGCGTCGGGCCGGTTGATGAAGCGCTCGATGCTGCGGTTGACCTCGGGGTAGCGCGTGCCGCGGAAGCGGATGCGCTGCTCCAGCACGCGGCCCGTCAGGCTGCTGCAGTCCTTGAGCTGGCAGAGGCGGCGGAAGATGCGCATCATCCTCCTCTTGAGGCGGTTCTCCTGCAGGTACGGCGAGTCGGCGCTGTCCAGCTCGGCCAGGTCCAGCTCGCGCTCCTGCAGCCGCCGGATCTCGCCGGCGTAGACGCGCAGCAGGTGCTCCAGGTGCCGGATCTGCCGCCGCGAGCCGCCCGCGCGCCGCCCCGCGCCCTCGGGGGCGCCGGCCGGCTGGGACGCGGCGTCGGGATGGCCGGATGGAGCGCCGGGATGGCCGGATGGAGCACCAGGATACTGGGATGAGGCGCCGGGATGGCCGGATGGAGCGCCAGGATACTGGGATGGGGCGTTGGGGCACTGGGAGGAATTGCCGGGATACTGGGACGGGGCGTTGGGGCACTGGGAGGAGTTGCCGGGATACTGGGACGGGGCGTTGGGGCACTGGGAGGAGTTGCCGGGATACTGGGATGAGGCGCTGGGGCACTGGGAGGAGTTGCCGGGATACTGGGATGAGGCACCGGGATGGCCGGATGAACCACCGGGATACTGGGATGAGGCGCTGGAACACTGGGAGGAGTTGCCGGGATACTGGGATGAGGCGCTGGAGCACCAGAATGAACCATTAGGATACCGGGACGGAGCGCCAGCGTCACTGGACGAAGCACTGGGATACTGGGATGGAGCGCTGGGATACTGGGATGGAGCGCTGGGATACTGGGATGGGGCGCTGGGATACTGGGAAGAGCCCCCAGGGTGCTCCGAAGAACCAGCAGGACACTGGGAGGAGCCCTGGGGAGACCGGGATGGATCCCCAGCGGGATACTGGGATGAACTGGTGGCACACTGGGACGGCTCGGCTCCGTCGGGATACAGGGATGAGCCAGGCGGGCACCGGGAGGCCCCAGGGGGATACTGGGATGAACTGGGAGGATGCTGGGATGAAGCAGGGGGATACTGGGATGAACTGGGAGGATGCTGGGATGTTTCCTCAGGGTTCTGGGACTCTCTGTCGGGATGCTGGGAGGATCCAGCGGGATACTGGGAGGATCCAGCGGGATACTGGGAGGATCCAGCAGGATACTGGGAGGCTCCAGCAGGATACTGGGAGGATCCAGCGGGATACTGGGAGGCTCCAGCGGGATACTGGGAGGCTCCAGCGGGACACTGGGAGGCTCCGTCGGGATACTGGGAGGCTCCAGCAGGACACTGGGAGGATCCAGCGGGATACTGGGAGGGTCCAGCGGGATACTGGGAGGCTCCGTCGGGATACTGGGAGGCTCCAGCAGGATACTGGGAGGATCCAGCGGGATACTGTGAGGCTCCGTCGGGATACTGGGAGGCTCCATCAGGATACTGGGAGGATCCAGCAGGATACTGGGAGGCTCCATCAGGATACTGGGAGGATCCAGCAGGATACTGGGAGGATCCAGCAGGATACTGGGAGGCTCCAGTGGGATACTGGGAGGATCCAGCGGGATACTGGGAGGCTCCAGCAGGATACTGGGAGGCTCCGTCGGGATACTGGGAGGCTCCGTCGGGATACTGGGAGGCTCC